CCATCCCCAACCCACCCCCAACCCATCCCCTGCTCCTAACCCATCCCCAACCCATCCCCAGTTGGGGTGGCCATCCCCAGTGCCCCCCCCCAGTCACGAGTTCCCCCCCTGCCACCATGGCTGCCCCTCACCATAGGCGTTGCAGTTGACGTGGGTTTCGGGGTACGACTTCCAGAGGATGCGGTCGCACCAGGACGGGACGTTGGTACGAACCTGCAGCAGGATGGGGTGGGTTGGGGGGGTCACACAGAACCCATCCGGGTGCCCCCCACCCTCAAAATCCCCCCCACCCATCACCGTACCCCTGTGGGTTTCTGCTTGTGCCACACGTAGGTGTCCCGCGAGCCGCGCTCGTAGCGGTACGTGGGGGGGAAGGTGATCTCCTCCTCTCCTGCAGCAAGGAATATGTTTTTTTTGGGGGGGGGTCAGGGAGAATCAGCACCCAGAGCCCCACCCCACCCCCCCTGTAACCCGTGTGGCCCTCACCGAAGCGCAGGAACACTTTGTGTTTCTCCTTCTCCAGGTTGAGCTGATCCACTTTGAGCAGCGGCTCGAACTCCTTGCGGCTGATGTAGTTCAGGATCTCCTGCAGGGGAGGGCATTGGTTTAAGGATTGCCCCCTCCCCCTAAATGCAGCCCCCATCACCATCACCGACCAACCAACCCACCTGGATGTCCATATCCAGGCGGTAGTTGAGGTCCCCAAACCAGAAGAGGTGGGTGAAACGCAGCGAGATGTCGAAGGAGCTGAGCTGCTTGTCGCCCAGCGAGAGCAGGCGCAGGATGTCCAGGTAGTTCTGGTTCCTCCTGCATGAGGGGGGGGACGGACACTGCTGTCACCTCCCCCCAGCCCCAACACGGTCCCCATGCTGTGGGTGCTCACCTGGCTGTCTTCTCGTTGCCCGAGGTGAGGTGGCAGTTGACGAAGCCGAAGGACGTGCCGTTGAACATGAAGGAGACGCCCACGGCGCCCTTGTTGCCTGTGGGGACAGGATGGGGTGGGATGGGGACAGGGGATGGGATGG